CAGGCCGTAGAAACAACAATAAATTCAACAACCCTAACTTATTACTATATTAGTGGGGCATGAGGCAAAATCATGCAGGCCGTAATATAATAATAAGATCATGAGGCTAACACATCTTTCAACATATCTTTACTTCAACGGTCTTGTGACGTGAACTGCATATGTGAGAACACTCGATATCGGCTAAAACAGCCGATTTAGACATAGCGCACAATTAGGGTCATGCCCTATCAGGAATAGATCTACCAAATAAGGATCCCCACTCTACGGTGTTAATAGTGGGATGTGAGGCAGAATCACACAGGCCGTGATAACGGACCATGGAACAGTTTTCGTTAGCCAATAGATCTATTCAAGACCAGACATGCCTTAACCGCACACTATGCACGATCAATATTGACATAAAACAGCCAATAAAACATAACTCATCGTTTAAGGTCCAGATTAGATCAGTTTAGATTAATAAACGATGGGTTAAACAGGATATAAGACCGATCTAGATCAATCACAATCGAGCGAAGTGATATTGCTATAATTAAATAAATAATAAAATCAATAAGCAATATCGGTAACTTAATGAATCTATTCGAATGACACCACCCTTAGATAGAGCTGATAACTTGACCTTGATCTAGTTCGAGTAGTGGAGGTCGACCGGATCGATGCAGCCTTACTTGAACTAAACAAGAGTCGATAACTAGTTTCTACCAGGGTCGTAGTGGAGGTCGACCGGATCGATGCAGTCGTACCAACAGAAGTATAAGCCATGACGGTACTTATAGACAAGCCGGAGGTTGGCCGAACCGATGCAGCCCTACTCACTGAAGAACTCACCGAGATCTACTCTACTCCTACTCCTAAGGGGTGGCCGAAGCCAAAAAAAAGTAAGTAACTTGTATTTAATTGATTGTGTGTCTTTTACAATAGCCAGAGTCTAATATTTATACTCGGAGCCTAAACACGAATCCTATTCAAGTACGACTCATTACAATCTTCGGTATAAAAGAGAACATTCCTAATCTTAAGATAACTTGGACCCTAATCTTTTTCTTTTTTGTAGAGTCCGATATGCATCTCTCGACGCCAACCATAGCCTATTATCGTTACTTGCTGACCTCATTCAAAGAGAGCCGATTCCAGTGTCTCCTCTGAATCAACTAATATCAATCTTCATGCAATCGAGTCCTTAATCGACACAACTTTAGAAGCTTCGAGTTCCCACGTTCTTCTCTCCAAATTTTGGTGTAAACACTTTCTAGTAGATTCAGAATACGTTTTCTCTTTCAGAAAGCGTAAAATTCCTCTGTTAGATTCAAAATACGTTTTCTTCTTTTGAAAAACGTAGTTTCTTCGGTTAGATCCAAAATATGCTTTCATCAATTTACAGTTTTGCCACTAGTTTTATTTAGGCCATAAAATCTTCGTTTTAACTCTGTTTTGATCCATTCAAGTTGCGTTAGATTCATAATTGAGTAATCTATATGTTCATCCTACTGTTAAATATATTTTTAACTTTTGAAATTCGAGGTTAGATTTAATCTATTATTTTATTAAAGGAATTCTTGTTTAATTCATAACTTTTTCGTTATTGCTTCGATTAGAGTGTTTTTTGTGTTTGTGTGTTCGTAGTAACGTGTAGAACATATTTAAAACCTTTTTACCAATTGTTTATTATATTTGGTGTATTGTTCTAATTTATTTCTATTGTTTGCTTCGTGTATGATTGTATGGATGCTTGTGTGGTGTTTTATGATCATGTCCAGTCGATGAGCTATACGCGGTGAATGCAGAAGCAATTCATTGAAGGTTTGGACTAGGAAAAGGATCTGAGTTTAAGGTAAGTATAGCATGGGATCTTTCTTCTTGTCCTATTCACCTTAATATCATTTTAATCATATGCATGTGTCTACCTTGGCAACCGTAGTAATTTTCCAAGCTATTTGATATCCTGGATTCCTCGATTCCTATGAGTTATTGCATTGGATAGTATGATACTAGTGCTCAACTAAAGCCATGATCTTGTAACTTGACTAATGGAATATGCAATAAACGCTAAAAGATGCTTTTTAGCAACCTAGAACAAGGGGGCTAGAGCATTGCGCTATTTTATGGTGCTCTAGATTCATCTCTCTAAGGACTTATATGTAAGCGAACATCTAGGACTTATTGTACAGCTGTGAGGGCTACATGGCTCTGGCTTTAGCTCGATATGAGGATCTTTTCTAGCTTGTTAGTGGTTACCTTTATGACGCAAGAGGGGCTCCCAAAGGTATGATCTCAGCCTGTCAAGAGGGTGCACTTTGGTTTCTTGGTATTTTGTTAGTCACTCCTTGTAGGGGGGGTTCATATTTATTGATGGGGAAACCTTAGCGGCCCTAACTTGTTAGACGAACCTTTGAAATGCTTCATAGTGAATCCTGCCGAACTTCCTTGGTAGTGGGTCAAGAGGTTGGCCGCCTCAGGCGAAAGGGTAAATCACGACTCATAGTGAAAGTGTACAACCTCTGTAGAGTGTAAAACTGGTATATCAGCCGTGCTCACGGTCACGAGCGGCCTTGGACCCTTACGGAATAGATGAAGAACATGGATGATACCGATGATGAAGATGCACACTAATGATTACTATTTATGCTTTTCATTATTCATATTTACCTAATCATGTGTTTATGTGAGCTTGTGGATAAACTTGTTGCCACCATATTGCTAAAATCATGACTCATTAAAAGCTAATCACAGTTAACCAGTGTCAGCCTTTTGAGACTCATGAAGCCCATGTTATATTTGTTGAGTACGACATGTAATTACGTTTGCTTTACTTTTTAAATCTTTTAAAAAATCCCGGATGGGTACCAGATTGCTAGAGTTTGGAGGAATTAGGCTTGTGATCAACTAGTCACTTGTCCCTGTGGATTGGAGTCTTCACCCGAAGATCGGAGTTGTCTTTCCGCTGTTTGCTATCTAAGGTTATATCCTTTGTACTAAGTATGTTATATATTAAGCCTTGTCTATTGATATTTCCTTTGTTTGTAGCTCACATATGGTGTGTATCTGGTTTTGTCCTTAAAACCAGGTGGTACACGAAGAATCCAAATAAAATATTTAGACCTCATGAATATATCTCTAGATGCTCCAAAATGATTTAATTATATAAAAATTAAAAAAGACATCTAGAAAATCTAGAAAATTCCTAAAACATTCTAATTGATGTCAAAATGCATTTTGAACACATTTTGCAACAAAAATCATAATACACAACTAGCATGTATGCATTCAGTATTAATGTATGTTGCATTGATGCGGGTCACATCTCATACTTTTCTCATGTGCAAAGTTTTTAGAACATGTTAATACATAGATTAGGATGTTTTGTGAATTTTCTAGATATTTTCCCATTTTTCTAGAGCTAAATATATTTTTGAAGCTTCTAAAGATACTTTCATGAATTGTATATAACTTATTGGGAATTGTTGTATCACAGTATCTATCTCTAGGTATTTTTGGAAATTTTAAAAGCTTGGAAACATTTTATTAAAAATCTTATCAAGTATTTAGCCGATTTTTTTAGCTACAAAGAGTACAAAACTACTTTAAAACATGGTAGGTAGGCAATATGAACAGTTTTGAGAGTTCAAGGGATAAGATGTCTGGTTTTGTAGCTTGAGAAGGAACGAAAACCAGACCACTACAATAGTTTAGAGAGGTAGAATAAACTTTTTCTTTGTATATGATGTGTCCACATGGTAAGCTTATTATTGGGCTGGTTCATGGGCCGAACAGGCCCATCATAGGTCCTTTGTTCCTCTTGTGTACTGGTAACTTTGGTATATATCCGTATGGAAAGTCGTATCGTATAGTATAAATAATAAAATCGAAATGCAGGTATAGCAGGAGTGTCGTCCTCGACCTAAATAAACGGATAACAAACATTACGAGACGTTCTCCCTGATGAGCTAGGCTATGTCGTACGCACGGTGTGAGCTTTGTTGCGTTCGCAGTCGCTGTCAGCATGTTTCACCCCCTTCATACATTTGGAATAAACAAGCTTTCGCCGTGAAAGGGATGTGACACGTACACGCAATCATCGATATGCCAGGCCGCCTTGGCGTGCATGCATGATGCATGAACACAGACAAGGAGAATTAATTGCATCAAGCTGCGCGTACGTACGCAGGCATTCATCATCCAGATCAGAACCCTGCACTGTAGCAAGTCTTTAACTGTACCGTGCCATGCATGCAGAGTGCATGCTGGCTGGACATACTGCATGCACCCGGCCGGCCGGACTCGTCAGGTATGTGAGATGACTAGTAGGAAGTAGGAATACATACATTTGTAATCATTGACTGAAGCTGCATGCGGCATATATATGGATCGGGTAGATGAGATCGACATGCATGCATGCAAATGAAACCTGAGCGGGCATGCATGTCGTCGAGCTTGCATCATTTCGATCTCGGTCGGAAACCATGCATGCATGCGTGGTTCATCTCAACTGTTTCCAGATCCAAGGGCGACAAATTTCTTACGTGAAAGTGACGTGCATATGCATGTGTGCACAATGCATGGCAATGCAACAAGGCAAGGCTCATATCATGGCACTCTACTATATGCAAGCTTTATTGCTGCCAACAGACATACATGGCGCATGCAACGTCCTCATGACCCCTTTTTGTTTCCTAGCTCTAGCTTTTCAGCGCAGACTGGGAGGCTAGTAGTGGTGCGTGGCTCGATCCATCGGGGCAAATTACAGTGAACAAGCTATAGCTAGTAATGAAAAGATAAAGATGGAAAATTAATAAAGATAAAAAAGTTAAAGTTAAAGGGGGCATGCTGGGCGGGGAAATTTACATCATCAGCAACCACATCTGTGTGCTACGTGAAAATTCGTGCGTACATGTACGCAGAGGCTGGGTTTGCGGGACAGACTGCTATTTATGCATGCTTCATGCTTCATTATGCAACGGCGGCAAAAATACTTCATCTTGTAGTTCATTGTAGGCTCATGTGCATTTCTGCATGTATATATGGATAATATGGACTGCTACTTGATGGCCTTCTGATTGGCGCCATTGTAGCAAAAATGGCGATGGAACTCTCCACCGATGCAGCATTTCAGCCTCAGGAAACTTGGCTCCTTTGGCACCGTCAGAGGCCTCGTCGACCTGCACGTCGTCCATACAGTAAAAAATAAAAATAATTGAAGTTACATATATACATAGGCATTAATAATAATTGGATGCATGCACCGTACAATTGACTAATTTGAATTGTTTCATATATATTCAATTAACAAGCTGGCATATGTAATTTTTTTTTGTGAAAAAATCAGCAACGTAAATATATACTATTAACGTTTTCTGGCTGCAGTATGTGGTAATAGAAAATATTCATCTTCAAAATAAGATCATTCCTGTTGATCATTGTAAAGTTTGAAAAGTTGGTGTTTATGTTATTTGTCCTTAGTTGGCATTATATTGAATGCATCGATCACTCTCTAATTAATTTGTGTACCTAGAACAACTACCTTCCAAAAAGGCAGAGTTATTTGTTCCTTCTCATCCCTGCATGTATTATTATTTAGAGTTGTGGTACAGCAGTATCCTTTAGTTTTTATTAGTATCATATATAGATGATAGAACTTGTGTAATGTCTGCCTTCTTTTAGTATCTATTAATTTTTGCACTTTTCTGTTCCTCATATTCGGTTCAGCTGATTAATGAAGATTTGGTGAACCAGGCCAATTGTTGATTATTGATGATGTCTAGCTATCTATCTTCTAACAAGCTCAATCATATGTGAGTTCATGATATATGCTCATATATATATAGTATAATTGCCTTTGTGGGTGGAATGGCTTGTCAAATGCTGGCATAAGTTGGGCCTTGGGAACCATCTCCTTCCTCATCAGCTTTATCTCACGCTCCTCCATCAACTGCATACATGAGTATTTCAGTGAAAAAAAAGAGAGACGCGTGTATGCAGAAACTCCTCGTGTTTAATTTATATATATTTATTTACAGTACGTACCTGTGCAAGCTTCTCTTCAAATCTGCGAATGATTTCCTGGGTATTTATCTTGCTTGCAACCTGGAAGCAACCCGCCTCACAAGTTAGTTTCTTTGAAGTAAATTTAATTTGGAGGTATATTATCTTGAATAAATAATTATTATCTGCGTAATTAACCTGATAATTGTAACCGGCCCGCCTTATTGCTCTCTCCTCAGTGTGAAGCCTGTTGTAGCTCAGGGGCTGTTCGTGTCTCGGTGATCTCTGAGACTATATATTACAAAGAGAGAGTAACGACCTTTATAATTAATTTCAACTTTATTTTAGATACAAGTACAACTGATTGTAGAGTTAAAAATAGAAGCTTTTAGGTGAACCGTACCTTAGGCGAGGTTTGTGAAGTTGAAGAACGGCGTTTGCCCTCATCATGAGACAACATATCTTGATGACCACCTTTCTGAACGTTTTGTTGTTCATTTTTTCGTCCATGTGGCTATATAAATTATCCACTTTAATTAGTTTTCTGAATATTATTATTGCATAAGTAAATTAAAATAAGAGATCTAGCTACTAGGTATTAGATAAAAAAAAGGGACAGGCAGGGGTATATATATACTTCTCACATATTCGATGATTATTATTATTATTAGTTGTTCATGGAAGAAAGAAATCATATCATACTGATGTGGATATTCCACCAAAAAATATTTACACCTATATTATGTGGACCATATTTGTACAGAAAAAGGACCATAACGAAACTGCTAAAAGCATGATATCCGTCCCATCCCACCATCAACCGTTCCTACCCAGTTGACCATATCTGGCCGGGTACAAAAGTAGTGTGGCCACTTGAAAAGTACCCACTCCAAAGTCATTTTCGGACAACATCTAATCTAATAAATCATATATTTTTTGTGAAAATATGTTTAAGAAATAGTGACGGATGTATACGATGAGCTAACATTTTGATATAAAGAGACACCATGCATGGTAATTAATATTTTGTGGCATTGACTTCTTTACATACCGTCAAGAAAAAAACAGTGTGCTCTATGTTTCTTCATTATTAGGAAATTATCTTTTAGTTATATATATCAAAGCAAATGGATGCATTACTATTGTTGGACATGTTTAGTTTGGCAAAGTTTTTTTTTTCTTTTTGTAGTGGATACATTAAACACACACTATTGTTGTGTCATGGAAACGTCAAACTCTGAACTGTAAGGAACACTCTTCATTGATTTTTTTTGTGGGTGAAGAATACCGCGCTAGTCCTGCTTATACATTATCCTAAGAACATGTTGTTAACATGATTGGCCTTACATGATCATGGACAGTGACAGAGCCAAAAAAAATTAGGAGCCACGATGATCCTCATTATGAAAAATATTTACTAACAAATTATAGTGTTTCTTCTTTGATAGTACAAAGGAATTTTTTTTTATAACTTCATCGATAAGCTAGGCCGCCTACCCGGAGTGGTCGGGCAATGGCTCTGCCACTGCTTATGCTTATGCATGGATGTATCTACTAGTTCATACCTCGGTAGTGTTCTTCTTATGAGGCAGAGATCCTCCTCCATTCCTCACCGGGCTCTTGGGACCGGTATGAATCGTTGAGCTCTGAGTAAACAGAGTAGTCATGTAAATGAAATTAACCAAATTCAAGTGAACAATCCAAATGATGATAATATGGAGCTATTATATTGGTTAATACATCAAGCCCCCTTATTAAAGAGCTCAACTGAAATAGTGGTCGGGGGCAGAGAAAGTGACACTTGGTTAATTTAAAATAAAATCTTTTATTTACTTCTTGTTTAGGAAGCCTTTAACTAATTTGAAAGTAACTCATATCTAAGATGACAAAAGCCATGCATGTAAGTTAAAGGTACGCAACAAGATAACATGTCACTCATCAACTCCACTTGATCTATCAAGGCAACGTTTCAAATAAAAAAAAACGTACGTACGTAACAAGCAGTATGCATGTTTGAACCTGAAGATGACTCAAAACTCAAAACAAAATATATTTCTTTTACTCTATGCATGCATGCAAGGTACGGTGGACGTACACAAAACCTGACAGAAACTGTATACGGAAATCCAAATTTCCTAGCTAGCTAGCTAGTAGCATATATGATCTTTGCTGAGAGTGTGGCTTGATCTTGGTTAGGACGAAGCAAATACGCAGAAAGGATCTTGGAGACATGCAGCTCTATATCTCAAGCAAGCAGGCATGGATGCATACTACACATCAAGGCATCTCTCTTTGCTTCTTCTCTATCTAACCTTATTAGGGGAAGAAGTGGCCTTCCTTGCCTTCTCCATTTCTCTGGCCATCTCTCTCTATTAATGCAGCAATGCAATGCAATGCAGAGGTTGCAAGAAGAAGTGATATGGAGCAGCCAATAGTTGCACCAATTTATAGAGCTATTAGGTATCACAATGACAATGCATGCGGCGTGCAAGGACTACTATATAGCATCCCCTAGCTAGCTAAGCTTGCTAGATAAGAGGCAGGTAGCCAAAGTGCGTGCAGAGTGAGCGAGCTGATGATCGAGATTGGTAGCTTTCACCCGTGCTGTGCCACTTCACCAGCCATGCATATATGATATCCTTGCTAGCTGCTTTCAATATAGCTGTCTATCTACTACACTGCACTCTATCTCAGAATCAGGCTTGTCACCACGCACACACCATCGTCAATCAGATGAGTGTGTGATGCTCATGCAAGCCGGCCTTGTGTTGTTAATTCCTCTCTATCCTACCAACCGTCTGATGAGGCATAGCCATCAAGGGAACCAGGCTAACAAACTTTGAGGTGGCACTGAAACTTCGTCCCCTATGAAAATCACGAAATCACACGCTAACGGAGCAAGCAGCTAGCTAGCTAGCTTGAAGAAGCTTCCAGCAGGCAGCAATGCAGGGCCATGCATGGCATGGGGGGGATTTTTTTTTAATTTTAACATTTTTTTGAAACTAATTTTAAATCTAACACGGTCGGTTTTTTTTTAAACTAACACTTTTGGCCGCGCCTATTGCCCTAGCGCGGCCAAATGCCTGTGCCGCGCCATGCATGGTGACGCGGCAGAGGGCTGTTGTGGCGGCGACCCGAATCGCTGACCGCTGACGGGGCAAGGCCTGCCGCGCCACCGATTTTGGCGTGGCACTGCCGCACCCTGATTCGTGGCGCGGCAGAGCCGAATAAGACCCCCGCCGCGGCCTGCGTCCGCCAGTGGCCGAGCAGCCACCGTTGCCCGAGCAGCGCAGCAAGGCCGCTTGGCCGCCGCGCCCGCGTCCGCCCGCGCCAGCCCACCGCAGAGCACGCCGGCCGCCACGCCACGAATGCCGACGGCAGCCAGCTAGCCAGCCATCCGCGTCCGCCCGCGCCAGCCAGCCATTGCCCAGCAAGACACGCACGCCGCCGAGCCCAGCGCGCCGGTCGCCACCCTCCACCACCACACGGCTGCCCGCCCGCGAGGGATCGCGCCTGCCAAGCCTCCTGCCCGGTCTAGCGCGCTGCAGCGAGGTACTCCCCTAATAAAGTTAGTAAAATTATTAAAGTATAGTTAGTATAGTTAGTTTAGTTAGTATAGATAATATAGTTAGTATAGGTAGTAAAGTTAGGTAGTCTAGTTAGTACAGTTATTGAGTCTAGTTATACATTGGATTTAGTCTAATTAGTTGTTGTTGTTAGCTTTGTATAGATGTTAATATTAGATTAGTTAGTATAATTATAGTTAGAATATGTATTAATATTACTATGGACATTACGTACGATGATTTCGACGACTTGATGAAGTTTCTTGAAATGCTTTTGCAGATGGATTGTTGTGTTAGAGTTTTGTATGGAGGAAGTGTTAGGAGAGAAGATGGTATGTTTGATGATATGGAAGAAGAATTAGAATGGTTTGATGAACCTCCTAGCTTCAACAATTTTTGTGTCCGTTTGAATGTAAAGTTTGGCGGTGATTTCACACTAAAGGGGAGGTTTGATACTGGGAAGACTAGGGCATACTATGTCCTCATACCCTTGCGCGACCCTGCTCACTGGTCCCGCTACAATAGGGTTCTCCAAGGTTCCAATGTGCCCATGGCTGAGGTGGTGGTGGAGAATGGGTATAGGATGCAGGGTGTTCAGGACGGCCCATTCATTGACGGTGTTGGAGGCAATGAGCAAGAATTGGGGGTCGAAGGGGAAGCAACTCAGGGTAACATGGATTTGGATGGTTAGTTGACGCAGGAGCAGTTTCATTCAACTGCAGTAGGTTGTATAAGCAGTGACTTCGATGTGAATGATTTTGAACGGGAAGAGGAGGAGCAGGAGGAGGAGGACAGGATCAGTGATGTAGTTAGCAGTGATTCAGATGATTCTGATGATGACCAAGGAGGTACAGGTGCTATGCCAACACCGGCTGATGCCATGCCAGTACCGGTTCATACTATGCCATTACCAGTACCAACTAAGGTTTTGCATGGTGTCCAGGCTCAGGGTAGACTAGTCATAGATTTGGCTGCAGATGATACCCCCTATGATTCATGGGCCAGAATTAGTGAAGCACAACAGTATGTTCCACCACCACCTTACACGGCAACTGAGCTTGAGCAACTAAGGTCCAAGAACATACCTTTCATGGGCGTTCCGATCTATAGGGATGTCAGCATGACGAATATGGTAGTTTGTGACACTGGTCTCCAGATGTGTAGGAATTCATTGTATAACCATGAGAAAGAAACCCTTAGGAAGGGGATGATATTCAACACAATGTCAGAGATAAAACTCTTCCTTCAGGACTATGCTGTGTACCACCATAGGCCGTATACCGTCACTCATTCGGACCAGGAGTTGAGGTACCACGTGATATGCAAAAACGGTTGTATGTGGAGGTTAAATGCACGAAAGAGACAGAGTGATGGCAAGTAGAGGATAACTAAAGTTGTCGAACCCCACACTTGCCTAGACAATAGGGGGAAAGAAAATCATCAGTAGCTCACTGCACGTTACCTTGCCCGTCGTATATTGGGGCTCGTTGATGATAATAACAACATCTCGGTGTATTCCTTACAACAGTCCATATCTGGATTCATTAGGTACGATGTGACGTACGGAAAGGCTTGGCGTGCTAAGCAAATTGTTCTGGCAATTCGATGGGGTACTTGGGAGGAAGCATATAACAGGGTGCCCACATCTTATGTGCAATGCATTACTACAACCCTGGCTTGAAATAGTTTGTGGACACCGGAGGGATGTTTTTTTGGGACCCATTGAGGCATGTACTCTATCGTGTGTTCTGGTCGTTCACGCAAACGGAACATGCATTCCAGTTTTGTCGGCCAGTCATACTTGTTGATGGCACTTTCCTGACAGGAAAGTACAGGGGCACCTTGATGATGGCTGCTGCTGTTGATCCTGAGGACCAGATAGTACCCATGGCTTTTGCTTTGGCAGAGGGAGAGAATAATGAATCGTGGTCATGGTTCATGCGGCTTCTACGTGTGCAAGTGCTTGGCCCAACTCGCACTATATGTTTGATCTCGGACCGTCACACAGGGCTTCTTAATGCTACAGCTGAGCATATAGATGGGTTCCCACCTCTAGTACATAGATGGTGCATGAGACACTTTGCCACTAATTTCTAGCGGCGTTAGCGGAAGCAGGAGGTATGTGACAAGGTAAAGGCTCTATGTTGTGTACGTACAAAGCACCAGTTCAAGGAGACAAAGAGAGAACTAGACAAGATGGTAAATACAGCGGGAAAGGCCTGGTTAGAGGCGCAGATGGAACAGAATGCTTAGTGGGCGTTAGCATATGACGAGGGGGGTTTCAGGTATGGCATCATGACCACTAACACCTCGGAGTCCTTCAACCGTGTATTCACCGGAGTTCGATCGTTGCCTGTGTCTGGAATTATTGAGTTCTTGTTTTATAAGTGCAACAAATATTTTATGAAGAGGTGGGAACTTGCGCAGAGGAATATAGCTGAGCAGGGGCGTTTTGGAAAGGTAGAGTGCAGTTGCAACGTCCCTCAGATCATGCATGCCCCTTGCTCTCATATGATCACGGCCTGCAGGGTTCGCGGGTACAACTATGAGGATCTGTCATATATGTCACCCTTGTATCTCTGTTCGAACACCATTAGTATTTGGGAGATGAGCTTAGAGTCATACCTTGACCCGACACAGTGGCCACCTTATAATGGTTATGATTACGTGCCGCATCCAGATCTAATGAAGGTAGGGAAGGGTAGGAGAAAGAAGAAGTGACTCAAGGGGGACATGGATGCTATGAGAGGGTACGGCAAAGACATGTACGGTGGGGGAGACTTCAATGAGACCCGTGGCAGGAATCTTTGCTCCGTTTGTAAACAATCTGGTCACAAGGCTAGCAGGCATAGAAGACGAGGGCAGCAGGTGATTTCATATTGTGTTCGTATTGCATAACAAGTAGTTCAAATTTTGCAATGCTATATAATGTTAATCTGAATATTGTTAATTTGAATATTGTAACCCTTTGTTTATCAATTTGTAACAAGATGGCCCCTCCCACGATGCACCAGCTGTACCCCCTTCTTGAGGTGGAGTACGATGACCCTCTTCTTCCACCGGATGATGAGGTTTCCAAGAGGCGTTCGAGGGATCCTTACATTCCTTGGACTTAGTTTATTACGTCGAATTTATGTTGAACGAATATTGTCGTCGAAAACTTGCAGACTCATAAACCAATGAAAATGTTATGTGGCAACTTGTTGGCCATTTATTTGCTTCATATTCGTTTCAACTTGCGCACGGTCACGGCAGCACATGAAGTTTTTTACAGCACCGACAACAACTCGATTGAGGCTGCAATACATCAGTAGTTCAAATGAAATATAAGACAACGCAATGAAATTTTTACTACATAGCTACAATGATCATTAATAAAGCGTGGAACTAGATGACGGCACAATCAAAAACCCTCAGTCAGAAACATACTGAGTAAGCAACTCGTCGTCCGAGTACCAATCCTCAACCACAACCCTGTTGCTATGGCTAGGGTCACCTGTATTGCTATGATCTGCCTTTTGCCTATAGTAAGCGGCCTCCGCTTCATTTGTGGCCTGTGCGGCCTGAGTGAAGAACGTGTCGTCATCCTCCTCCGCCTGCAAGCCTGCCTCTGCTAGAGCGATGAGCTCGCTCAGTCTACCAGTGTCGTCTTTAGCCTCCTCCGCCTGTGCTAGAGCGATGAGCTCACTGAGTCTGGCAGTGTCGTCCTCATCCTCGCCCCCTCATCAGACAACACAATCGGTGATTCAACGGTGCGACCAGCTCGCTTTCTGTGCTCATCTAACTTTTTTTTTCTC